ATATAATATATACTAAAATAATAATAAGAAATAATAACTAACTATAATATATGAATAAAATATGATAATAACTAATAAAAAAAAATAAAGAAAAAGAAATTCTATTATATATTCTCTTCTTAAAATGTGAGGTCCTCCAAAGCATCCCAATATTAAGATAAACTTCATTTATCAATTACTATAAATATACTATACTATTTTTAAACTTTATCAACAATATTCTAAAAGTTTCTATCAGCTAATCTTTTTAAAGTTTAGCTTTAAACTTTATCAACAAATCATCATGGAAGATTTCCATTTTTGATTTGTAAACTTGTTGATGATTAACAATTATAGTAATTTATCACTTTAGATATTATCGTGATAAATTTTGATTTGTATAGAACTTTTTCATTTGTTTGGAAAAAGATTTTTAATTCATGTTTGGAATAGTATGACTCATTGTTGTGGCTTTGCTTTGTAGTGACTGATTATCAATTGTTCAAAAATTTTCACACTAAAAAATTTTTTTTTTTTTTTTTTATAGCTTTTTTTTTATTAATAAAACCAATAGATCCATCATTTCGCTTCAACAATTTTTTCCAAAACTATCTTCACTATTCCAAGGTTATAATTATTTATCCTTTTACTTTTTCCAACTTTCACTATTCATGATTATTATACTAGTTTATAGAGAAACTTTGCTTTTCTACTAGATCGCTCGAAGCAGTTATTTTGATAATTTGACTTCTTGAGTGCCTAGGTTAAAACGAGAAAGGATTGTAGCTCAATATTTAATATTGTACAGCTAGCTCTTTCTACTTTTTATATACGCTTCCCCTTTTGTTTTCTCTATTATGAAATAATATTTATAAAATTTTTGTCATTATTTTGTATTTAACCAAAATATTAACAAAATTTTTATTTATATATATATATTTTAGCTAAAGAAATATCTCTTGAAAAGTATAGCTTTAACATTATTCAGACCTCCAACTCCTTTTTCTTGACTTTCACCAACACTGTGATTACTCATCAAGATTTGCTCACACACATCGGTTTTTTTCAAGATACTATAGCTGCAGTTGCAAGTTCGTTAAATTGTTTGGAGAAGAAAATTAAAGAATATTCTAGTGGTTCAAGTTGTAAAGGGTGTGCACTTCTCTGTACTAAATTAAATGATATATATACAGAACTTAAGAAAAGGAAGTCACAAAAAGAGATGCTGCAAAAAATTAAAGACCTTGAAAAGTATATAATAGATTTAGAGAAGGAAAATCTTTGCTTCCGATTTTTAAATACAACTAATCAAACTAAAAAGAAGGGCAAAGAAAAAGGAAAAGAAAAGAAAAAATAATAATGATAATAATAATGATAACAATAATATTGTTCAATAATAAGTAATTGATTCAATAATCAATATATAAATATATATATATATATATATATATATATTTTTTGTTATTATAAATAAAGTTTTTGTTAAATAAAATAAATAAAGTAACATCAACAAAATAAAAGTTATTTTGTTAAATAATAATAATAATAAGAA